GGCGGCTCATCCTCTCGGGACCCAGCGGCACTGGCAAGACCTACCTGACCAACCGCCTGGCTGAGTACCTGGTGGAGCGCTCGGGTCGGGATGTCACCGAGGGCATCGTCAGCACCTTCAACATGCACCAGCAGTCCTGCAAGGTGACGGCGCACAGCAGCCAGAAGTGCTCCTGTTGGTACTGGTGCTGTGGTCCCCATTGGCAGCCATGCCACAGCCCCATGTGTGACACCTGGCCCGTTCATTGCAGGACCTGCAGCTGTACCTCTCCAACCTGGCCAATCAGATCGACCGGGAGACGGGCACGGCGGACGTGCCGCTGGTGATCCTCCTAGATGACCTCAGCGAGGCGGGCTCCATCAGCGAGCTCGTCAACGGTGCGCTCACCTGCAAGTACCACAAATGGTGAGAGCCCCACTGTACCCTCCTCCAGCACGGTCTCCCGGGCACACGCATGCTCCCCGCTGCTCTTGGCAAGATCCCTGGGCTTGTGGAGATGAGACTGCACGGCTGCGCATGTCTGCTGTGCTCAGATCAGCTCTGCCATGGGCAGGGATGATGCAGGGTGCTTTTTCTCATGGATCCTGTCTCTCTCACTCACTCAGCCCCTACATCATTGGGACCACCAACCAGCCTGTGAAGATGACCCCAAACCATGGCCTCCATCTCAGCTTCAGGTGGGAATTGTACATCCCTGGGGACCATCCCTGTGGGGCTGGGGGGAGCAGAGGCCGTCACTCCTGCCCCTGGGCAGTCCTGGGGACACATCCTGTGATTGGGGACCCTGATGAGGACTGAGCCCCAGGCTTGTCCCCACCATCCCAGAAGGATCTGATGCCCCAACGTTGGGGACATGCAGCGTGGGGGTGCTAGGAGGTCCCCCGAGGGTGCTGGGGAGCAGGGCAGCTTGTGTGGGGACCCAGCCCTGAACGCCTGAGTCTTTCCCCCAGGATGCTGACCTTCTCAAACAACGTGGAGCCAGCCAACGGCTTCCTGGTGCGCTACCTGCGGCGAAAGCTGCTGGAGTCAGACACAGATGTTAATGCCAACAAGGAGGAGCTGCTGCGTGTGCTGGACTGGGTGCCCAAGCTCTGGTACCACTTGCACACCTTCCTGGAGAAACACAGCACTTCAGACTTCCTCATCGGTATGGCCTTGCTGCACACCTCCCTCCTCTACCTCACACTGCTGGGAGCCCCCCAGGGACTGGGGCAAGACCCTCCCGGAGGAGCTTGGGGGGCTGATGTGCTGCCCTGTGTCCCCCAGTCCGACACAACCAAAAGCTGGTGGGCGACGCACACAAGTGTTGCTCTTCCCTGGGTGGCATTCGTTCCCGTGCTCCATGGGAGCTGTCACCATGGTGTCAGCCAAGGCTGCCTGTCTTACTGGCACCCTTCCTTGGGCACGGAGGAGCCGTGTTTTCCCAGGCAGGTCTCCCTTTGCCTCACCGTGCTTTTGGGGTAGATGGAACTTAGCAGCCCCATCCCTTGCCTGGGAGCTTGCTTTCTGCCCATGCGTGTCAGGCAGATGCTGCCCAGATACTGCTCCCAGGAGGTGGTCGAGTCCAGGGCACCCAGCGCAGCCAGGCTTGCTTGCCTTGGTGCTGTGCTGCCACGGGGCCAGTGACTGGAGCAGGGGGACCCAGCTCCCATTTTCGCTCTCTGCCTTCCCCCCACCAGGTCCCTGCTTCTTCCTGTCCTGCCCCATTGGAATTGAGGATTTCCGGACCTGGTTTATTGACCTGTGGAACAACTCCATCATCCCTTACCTGCAGGAGGGGGCAAAAGATGGGCTCAAGGTACCCAGAGCTGCCTGGCACATGGGAACGCAAACCAGCGGTGCCTGGGGACATGCTGATGCAGCAGTCTAATGGGGTGGGGCGAGGGGAGGCGCTGGGATTTTGGGCACAGGTGGCATCTCTTGTCAGTCCCTGCCCTGCCCTGTGGCTGCAGCGGGACCTAGCACTGTCCTGGGGGGGCTTGGGATGCCACGTCGCTGGCTCTGGCACGTGCTGAAGAGGTGGTTGCTCTTGCTCCCTACCTGCAGGTTCACGGGCAGAAGGCAGCCTGGGAGGACCCCGTGGAGTGGGTGCGGGACACCCTACCCTGGCCGTCAGCGCAGCAGGACCAGTCCAAGCTGTACCACCTGCCCCCACCCACCGTCGGGCCCCACAGCACTGTTTCACCTCCCGAGGAGCGCACCGTCAAAGACACGACGCCCAGCTCCCTGGACTCGGACCCTCTGGTACGGCCCTGCTGGGGAGGTGGGCCAGGTGGAGAGGGGAGAGCGAGGTGGATCTTCGCTTTCCCAGTTATTTTTCAGTGTAAAAAGCCTGATTTGGGGATGCAGAAACACTTTGCACTCCTGGGAGGAGTGGTTGGTGTGGGATAGTAGCACCGGCAGGCAGGCTGCACACCGAGTCGGCACATTGTGATATGCCAGTGAATGGGCACAGCGTGGCGCTGCACGAGGCATCGTGTCCACACGCGGAGCCACACACAGACTGGGGCTTGCACATATGTGTCCAGGTGTGTCACCTGGAGAGGCTGCTAGCAGACAGGCTGCCACAGGTCATCTCCCCCTGCATTGGTTTGCCATGCTCAGCCTTGAGCATCCCAGCTGTGCCCAAGGCCAGATCCTGGGGACAGGGAGGGATTTTGCAGCATCTCTGGGCTTTGCTTTACCCTCTAAGGAGCTTCTCGGGGTGGTTGGTTTGTATGGGAGGGGAAGGAGGGCCTGGTGGCCTTGGCTTCCCCAGGGTATCCACGGACCTCTCGTCCCCCTCGGACTTGGTGCCACGCTCCTCTCCCTGCAGATGGCCATGCTGCTGAAGCTCCAGGAAGCCGCCAACTACATCGAGTCTCCGGACCGCGAGACCATGGTGGATCCCGACCTGCAGTCGACTCTGTGAGGCCTGGACATGCCGGCCCAGGCGGAGGGGAGCCGCTGCCAGCCACTGCTCCTACCGGGCTGCTCTCCTTTTCCTTTGGTATCCCGGAGTGTGGGGCTGGCGAGTGAGCGGAGAGGACCGGGGCTCTGGCGCGTCCCAGCGGAGCGTGGGGAAGCTTGGCTCATCCGTGGGAGAGCACGAGGTGCCGTCTCCCCTCCCAACCCTGGGGGTAGGAGAATCCTGGTTTGTCGTCTTGATTTTTTTTTTTTTTTTTTTTTTTTCCTGTCTCTAATTGCAAACTCTTGGGCTTTGGGGCCAGGGTGACCGATGTGGCTGAGCCCCTGCTCCTGGGAGCCGCAGGAAGGCCCCTGCGTGGGGCAGGGACCCCGCGGGAGCCACCTGGGCCAAAACTGGGGGACACAGGAGGAGTGTGTGGCTGCAGGACGAGAGCGTGGGCTTGAGGGTCTCCAGCTCCCTCTCCACCCAGTCTAGGCGTAGCCCAGGGCAGGCGACGAGGGAGCCGCTGCTGTGGGAAGCGCTCGCCTCGTGCTGGCCGAGGAGGAGCGCGGCTCTCGCTGCTGTCTTTGTACATTCCCCGTTTCACCTGCATGGCAGCTGCTGTGACCAGGACAGCCCAATAAACCCTGCTTCGATTATTTTATTTTGTTTCCCCCCTCCCATTTTTCTTTGGCCGAGTCCAGACTTTGCTTTGGTCCCTTTTTTGTTCTGGTTCTTTGCTCTCCTGGCCTGGAGCCCGTGGCCCGGTGCCCACCGCTTCCCTGTAAGCAGCTCCCTTTCCCTTTGGTTTCTTTTGCAGCTGTTGGTTCCACCACTCAAACCACCTCTGTCATGAAACTGGTGCTCACTGGACGATCTCCAGTCCCTGAACCCACCTCCCGGGGCTTCATAGCTTGGCTGAGACGGGACGTGGGAGCCCGGGGCAGGGGGGGGCTCCCACAGCAGCCCCTTGCCTAGTGGCTCCCCTCCCCTAAAAAGCACAAGGCTGAGTCTGGCCCTGGGGCCAGGGTGTCCCACCAGGCCAGGATGACACGGGGTATCCCTTCCCACTGGCCAAGGCCTGGGCATGGGGAACGTGCTGCTGCCCCATTCCTGGGCAGCTGGCCCCCCTGCCCTGTCCCCTCAGTGGCAGGGGGGTACAACCTGCCCCACGTCCCCTCGGTGCTGCCAGGCCTGGGGGTGTGGGTTGGTGAGCTGTGCCTGGGGGTAGTCCCCGTGCCACTGCCTCCCTAAGGGCCTTGTGCCTTCCTGAGCCCTTCGGCCTGGCAGGGTCTCGCTGTGCCCTGTGTCGGTGCTCTGGGACCACCCAAGGCTGCCACGTGTCCTCTTGGCCCTACTGTGCAATGTCACAGGCGAGGCTCCTGGCATGGAGGGGATCAGCCCCGGTGCTGCCGCGGTGCCTTAATCCCTGGCCGTGCGGGAAGGGGGCGCGTGGGGCTTGGGCTGGTGCTGTCACAGCCTGCTGCAGCTGCAGTGGCCTAAAACTGTTCCCAGAGCCAGCTTGGCTGGGATGGGACTGGGGTGCTGGCACTGGCCTGAGCAGGGCCAAGCTGGGGCTGCTGCCTTCAGCACCCCTCGCTTGCCTGTCCTCGAGCATGGCTGCAGGGTGCTCTGCTGGCCCAGCACCTCCCTCCCTGAGCCCAGCTGGGCTCTGGGGCTCCCCTGCTCCCCTCTGCTGCCACCCAGCTCAGCTCCTGCACTCAGCTGGGGCCCTGGAGAGCCTTCTGGGGAGATGTGACCCCAGGGCCAGGTCTGCTGAGCCTGTCCTGTCTCTGAGCCCCACCAGGCTGGGGACCGGGCAGTCGCAGCACCCCTGTGCCGCGGTTGGTGTGGCCTTCAGGGACACCTCACAACCCTCCAAAACAGGCATCCTCCAAGG